ACTTGCCATGTCTTTCTGTGTGAGCCCAAAAGATCTGGTGGCCAAATGCAAAGTCTGGGCCTTTGCCCCATCAGCAGCACCCTGTTGCAAGACTGCTGGTGTCATTGCTCTCTGTCTCACAAAGCAACACTGGAGAAAATGACACGGGGAGGGAGGCAAAGGGTGCAGAACCTCTGCTGGCATGTGGGCTGCTCTCAGCCCTGGCTGTGATTTGGAAACAATCAGAACCCCTGCAACAGGGAAGAGCTGTATGCTCATTGTTCAGCAGTTTATTCTGGGTCAGTGACAGCCCCCAGAACATGTACACACATCTTTCCACAAACCTCCTCCAGGCATCTATGCACTGCTTGGAGCACAGTTGCAGATTCTTTTACATGGGAAAGCTAAGCTACTATAACATAAGGCATGAAAATAAAAGGTTCTTTTTACATATGGAGTCCTTATTGCAGCTATACCCATTAAGAAACACAAGGAAATAACAACACTTAGTCCAGGGAACACAGGCATATTGTCTACCACCTGAGGCCTCTCACCTGCCACTCTCATGTTTGGAGACATGATCAGTCCCAGCCCGAAAGTGGGATATGAAATGGGATGGGGGCTGCTCCATTCCATTAGTTGAAATACAACCAAAGCCTCATCTCAAGCTGTAAGGTTATATTTTCATACTCCGTGCATATGGATGAATAAAGGGCTGTGTTTTTCTGTTCTAAATACAAAGCAGTTGAGTCTCTAGAGGCTTACCTATGGCTTTCCTTTGTGAAGCCTGAGTTAGGCCAGAAGATTGTGCCAGACTGGGCATCTCTGTGGTCCCCATGACAGAGGCAGGATGAGACAAACCCACAAAGGACATGTCTGTAGAATACATTGATCCATCTGCTGTGGAGCTTGGAGTGATGGAACCTGTGACCAATAGCTCAGAAGACAGCTGGGAGGACGTCGTCTCTGTGCTGTATGAGAAAAATGACCCTTTAGTAATTTGTCAAGAAAACTATCTTTAAAACCAGATCAAAGCATACGCTGGTGTCTTCGTCTACTAAAAAAATAACTAAGTGAGAACAGGATCTTCTATGGGGACAAGTCATATCAATGATAATCCGGAGAATGATATCCCAACCTCTTCCTCATTTAAAAGTGGACACAGTTCTAGCTGAGCAATACTGCATTGCAATACAACCAACAAACCTATTTTCAGGTCTGAGCAATATACTTGTACTGTCTAATGTGTCTGCATGCTGGGTTGGCTATTTGCCACATCTTGCCATCTGAGCAGGTCCATATCCGTGACGAGACCTTTCCATTTTTTTAGGCTACCTAAGCTGCCAGGTTGTGGGGGCTTTTGGCTGAAATCTGTAACTCTAATTGTCTTCTGCATGCCACCATGAGCAGGAGCAGACAAGAGTTGAGCATGTAGTGCCTGCTCCCTGGGCCAGATGAACCTAAGCCAGTTCTCATCTGGAAGCTACCTTGCCAAGTCAGCACAGCACCACATCCTAACTAATATACTCGCTTATCATAACACAGCTATGCAGGTTTTGGACCAGAGTTGGCCTGTATCCCTCCTGCTGGAAGCACAGACAGAGGGATTTGGATTAATCTGAATTTTTTTTAACCTAGACATGCTTCTAGGTGCCAACTGTGTGGACTGCTCCCTTAGAAGGATGACCAGACAGTGGTTTGAGAGGGTCCTGATAATTTGACAGTGCAGCTAGCCCACAGGGCCATGGGGTTTGCAAACATCTTCCACCATGATCTTACAAGAATTCCTGAGTTCCCCATATTAAGTCCTTCAGAAGAAAGTCTTTGTCCTTCTCTTGAAGTTAAATAATTACATGGTTCATTTTGTGTCATTCAGCGGACCTTGCAGAATTCCTTACTGTGGCACTGAGAGTTGCTGCTGCACTGTCAGGACAGCAAAAGCAGTTCAGGGAAGGGAGGAGATGAAGCATGGTGTTGTCCCTCATCCAGCCTTGCCTCATGGGACAGAATGTGGGGGCTCTTCCAATAGCCTAAAAAGGGCGTGAGCTGCGTGTTTTGTGAGGACAGTATGCTGCCCAAGCAAGAGCACTGTTCTCTGAAGCATAATTTCTCTGTTCCACTCAAGGCATCAGTCCTTTGTGTGGCCTCTCTGATGGGCTATGCCATTGCAACTCCATGAGCCCTATGCAGCCATTGAAAACATGAAGGCGTTTAATTATCAGAGACAAGTAAGTTAACTTATGCACTTTTTAAAGGAACGTACGTGATTAAAGACAATGTGCCTGTAAATGCAGAGGCACCCCTTGCACACATACAGCAACTGGCACTCTTGGGACTTCCCTGGATCTGCACTATGAAACAGGACAGCAGAAAAAGTGCCACAGTTCATGTGATATTGACATGTATAGGACTTTTTAATTAGAAAACTCAAAGCTTAGCAGCATCTGTTGAATACCTCAAAGGGAGAAAAAGCGTGCATGTATTCATCCTTGTTAATATTCCCAAGAACACTATTTTTGGTCATGGCAGCACAGCTAAGGCTGACCTCAAGCTTTCAGGCCACGTTGGCAGGAAAAGAGTTTCCTTCCCAAGCAGCTTGGCTTTCATCTGGGTGGATACACTTGGTCAGGCCATTTATTTTATAAACTCCACCTGCATGTATGTACCTATGTCTCTCTGTGTGGGCGGGTAGGGCTTAGTGTTTGCTGTATGTTGAAGAATTTCAAAATGAACTCAATTACTTCCTGCTTGCAGCTACGGTGATACAAGTCCAGAGCAATTTCAATAACTTTGGTGAAATTACTTGTGGGTTTATACAGGTGTCAGTGAGAGCACAGCTGAGCCCAGAGCAAGGCTTTTCTAAGCACCAGCTCCTAGAAAACATCCAAAGAGACTGCCAACCTGATTCTAATACCTCACAAAACCCCTCCTTCTGCAATGGATGTCATCCATAAGCATTGTGCATTAAAGCTATATTACAAATTCTAAGTTATGGATAGGTTTGTTGCAGTCTCTATACTGGATAGAACAAGAGGATGTTAAGATGTCCACACCATCCTGCCATTGCTTAGAGTACAAAGCCCAATTGCTGCACTATGTGTTGTGATTAAACAGAGGAGTGGACCAAAGTCTCCCTCCGTTAGAGGAGGCAGCTAATGACAGCAGTAGTACTGAGGATGGTGCCTCATAACCAAAACCAAATTTGTTTTCCACATCTCTGCAGTTTCCAGTCAGAAAGGCAAAAGATGAGCCTGTGTTGATTAAAAAGGCTGGGGAGATCTTTAGTTTATCAACTAGCAAATGGCTCCAGCAGACAGAAAAGCATAAGCTATATGACTTGCTTTATATAACACATAAATTATATTTATAATGTTATGTTAATTGTATTATGTTATGCTACATTGTTATGATATATCATCTACTTTATTTTATTATTTTATGTGTGTACGCATACAGATACCTATATAGATATATGTATGTGAACAAATGAATTGTCAGCAAGATTCAGTAGGCCACGCACTGCTTCATGAAATCAACAAGTTATGTCAAGTGTAAAACACACCATTTCTGAAAGGGAGATCAGATCACTGAAGCAGGTTTATGTCAGAGAATTTGTTCCTTCCTCCTCTAGACTTTCTAATCAAAAGAGATCAGATGGGCCTATGATGTATACACGGCCCTTACATTTTCCTTCAAGTTATCCATTTCTTCAACAGGACATTTAATTTTGAGGGGTTCGGCACCACAGCTGGTTAGTAACCCCCTTCCCACCACTCTAGTTCGCAGAACTCAAGCACATGCTGTTTCAAACCACAGGGAGAAGCAAGAGCAGAACTGCACCAGTGAAACTCAGGCCTACTCCAGGAACCTGCAACACAGTTCAGCTACTGACTGCTAGGTGGAACCTGAGCAAACAGGTCTTGTTAGGTGGAGAGAGAAAGCAGAATGAAAATTGGCATGGTCATTTCAGTAATTTCTCTCACAACTGTTCTTCCTCTGCCTTTTCCAGGCATAGCCCTTCCAGCAGGTGCTTGTGGCTGTCTTGCTTTGCTCTAAGAGAAGGAAGCAATTGTCCTCAATGTTATATGTGCAGGGGAACAAAATAAGGCAGTATAGACCTCGGTTAGGAGGCCGGCTATGAGCTTCAGCAGTATCAGGTGATGGTTCCCACTATTAGAGTCTACTTGGAGAGGTAAAGGGCCCCTTGAGTTCAGTCAGGAGTAGCCCCAAGACAGATGGGATGAGGTTGGGTTGGCAAGTCTACATAGGCTGCTTTGCCTTGGGTGAGTCTTCATACCTCCCAAACAAAGGATTTCTGGTAATTCAGTGTGCAGGGGACTGGAAGCTGGCTTGGAAGAATACAAGGAAGTAGCGAAGAGGGCTGGCTGGGGCCTTTCTGGGCTTTACAAAACTACTTCCCCCAAAGGGAACATGTATTAACACAGGTCCCACAAAGCAGAGCCTCTTTAGCTGAGCGGGGAAGGGAAACAAAGCATGGCGAAGAGTCAGAGTAAGAGCACACATAGTACTGGAATTAAAACTGCTGGGCTGGGACAAGATGGAAGCCTGAGAAAACTGGGGATCCGATGCAAGCTCTAACACATAGGGTCATGGATACTTCTGAAATAAACACGGACAAAAGAGCCAACAGCATGTGAACACCATGCTCTTCTCTAGGAGGTTAGACAGGGTAACAATGGGGCTCTCCAGAAAGGAAGAACTGGTAGGAACTTGCGATGCAAAATTGTGTCTAGCACTTGTGGGTTTTCAGTGGCTTTTTGAACAACATGACAAAGAAATGCTATGTCATATTCTTTCAGTGATGCCTTTACAAACCTGATATTCTTTTTCCTGAGCTAAAGGGCTAATTATTTGTGAAAGGATGGTGGCACAGGCCTTTCTTTGTCTACCCTAAAACTCAAAAAATGGATATGACTATTCAAATATAGTTTGAAAAGAGAGGTAGAGCAAAACAGGAAATAAGGTAAACAGTAATTGATTTTTTCAGTTAACTATCCCACCTGTTTCCTCCTCCAGGCACATCTCTGGGTGACTTGGTTTCACTTTCCAGGAAGACGTAATTCTCCTGAACCTCTTTCAGTGCTTCCTTCTTGGCAAGAAGATCTTGTGCCTCCTAAGAAAACATTCACATGAAATCAGGGGGAAATGGTTTTGAAGCTTGTGATCATCACACCAGCTAGCCTAACATGGACTTCAGATCTGAAAAACAAAAACTTCATTCACATTTTGATCATTGCGCCAAAGGAACTTCAAATGTTTTATAAGTTTGGCTACCTATCATATTGATTTTGTGAACCAAACAGGATGGTGTCCCTGTGAATTGCAATCTTTCAAAAGCAGTCCCACATTCATTAAATCTTAAAAGTCAGCCATTTTCCATTAGTTTCTCAGGTAAGCGTGTGTCTGTATTTGTCATTTAACTAATGGCAAGATCATTTATAATCAATAGTCACAGCAGTTAAATACAGTGCAAGGAAGATAAACAGAGCCGATGTTTTGGATCTAACATGATTGTACTGGGTTGGAAGTTCTCTCGTACGTATATACACACAGAAAAGAACTTCCTAAAATAACCATAAAGTGGTGTGCACTTTAAAGACAAAACAGAAAAACAGCAACCCCAAATCCTACCAACACAAACTGACCTCTCGACTCTCAGACTGGAAAAAGCTGGAAGAACTGGCATCTCTGCACACACAACAGTTACATCGCTCTGCTGGGAGATGCTCCCCACACGACAGTGTGAGTCAGGTACAGCCATCTCAAATGCACACCCAAACATGCACCGTGTGTTGCACTGAACACCTGGACAAAACATGCTATAGAAATGTATACACATATCTCAACAAGTTATGCACTGGCCACATCTGAAGAAGGTTAATACCACTGCTCTTGGTGGGTAACAAAGTAAATCCAGGCGCATGCAATTGCATTGGGAAAAGAAGTTCCTTGGGCTCCTGGGAAATTTTTGCTCTGCATTACTGAGCAGTGAGAGCGGCACAAGGCAGTCTCTGCACAGCACATAGAGTCATAGAATCATTTACGTTGGAAAAGACCCTTAAGATTATCAAGTCCAACCATAAGTACACAACCTTCCTGACACACTGCAAGTTGGGAAGCTATCTACCTCTCCCCAGGCAGGGCCAATAAATCCCAGGGTCAACTCGGACAGTGGGCAATGGGTCTCCATCTGAAAGTGCACCATGGAGCTTTGCCAGGGACAGGACTCTGGAAGCCACAGCAACCATTACTCCAGAGTGTCATTTCACATGCAGGAACAATTTGCTCACCAACAGTTTTGAACTCCTTCAGTCTCTATACAGAAGGCAATAGTGTCATAATCTGCAAGCAAATTGAGCTGCTCCTTGGCTCAAGTAGGACAGGTCAGTGCCCTGTTGCTGAGTATCACACTTCCAGTGTCATCGTTTTTCTTTTACCATGAGAAAAACTTCCAGAATTTTATCACAGTGGCATCCCAGATGATTTGTGTAATCAGTAACATAAACTATGGTTTCAAAGATTAAGAGACTCCATATTAATTATGTACACACAGTACATGGCAGTTGAAACATTTCTGGAAAACAAATCTTAAATCAGACTTGTTTGTATAGCCCCTGGAGATCTTGTCCTTCTCCAGAATAAATGAGTAGGTCTACTGACATCTATGCGGTTTGATCACTGCCAAATCAGTACGTGTGAGAAGTGAACTTGTGACTGCTACACTACACTAAATCTGGGAGCATGAGCTGTGCAATATAAATATTTTGAAAAAAGAACAACTATCTCAATGCTAAAATAATGTGACTTTGGCCAGGGTTAAGGAACCAATAAAAGGGAATTTTGCAACGTAAAATCCAATAGTGCCACAATACGCTTATAAACAGAACTATTCTGGGTTAAAAGACCTAGCCCAAATGCTAAACAAATACCTCTTCACATATAAACAGGGACAAGAAATAAATGTAGGGAGTCACGATTTCCACTTCAGGGAAAGATGATCTAGCTAAGCTAATGTAAAGCAAGCGTTGCCTTTGCTCTGATTGGCATGATGCCATTTATGACCTCATTTAAAAAAAAATAATGATCTAGACTATTGTTCATATGTTTCTGAGTCATAGAGATAAACCAAACAAAGTTAACTGGGGTAGCCTTTAGAAGAGCCAAACCTGAGCACGTCTCCGTCTTTTCCTTCCTCAGAGGTTTTCCTGGTGCTCCTTCTGCAAAATAATGACAGCATGTCTGCAGAGGCCCGGCCAAAACACTGCTGCTGCCGGGCCAACCTCTTCTCCCTGCGGGAGGAGTGGTTCAGAGCCAGAGCAGGATCACCGCTCATGTTCAGACAAGCAAGCCCTGTTGACAGCCATCTCTGCTGCAGGGACCTGGAGGAGTTTCCAGCCGGCCTGCTCCACTGCCTGCCAGACTTCTCCTTGCACATGCTTATTCATTTGCTTGACCAGCAAGACACATTTCCGTTTGGGTTTAAAAGTGCTGTAGGGAGGAAGTGAAGGAATTTGTTTAGAGGAGCGTGCCCTACTCCATCTGTGTGGCCGCTGCACATTTTGTGGGAGCAATGGTAGAGCTGGAAACACGGGTGCCCACCAGCTCCTGCCACCAAGCCTTGAGTGGTTGGAGAAAAATCCCAATTCTGTGGAAACTGCTGTCCCTGTCACCTGGCTGCAGCTGAATGCTAGAACAGAACGATGATACCAGACTGGTGCTGCTCAGCAAATTTCAGTTCAGCCCATGCCTGGACCACTGCCTACCCAAAGGGTGGGCAAAGCCGCAGCCTCCCCAGGCGACACCACCCACACATGACAGCCATGAAGCTGGTGAAGACACCAAGCCAACCACTCCTACACAGAGGGGAAAGTGACCTTTGGCTGCTGCATCACCCCAGTGCCACCACCCTGAAAAGACTGTCACCAGGCTGTGGGGCAGGTGAGCTGCTGATGGCAGGGCTGGGAAGTGAAGAAATCCTTAAGCCGACCTGTCTTTCCCTTTCTCCTCCAGGCCTGGACTGGGGACTCCACAGCAATATTTGTGGGTCAGCATAGTTTCCCCATTTATAAAAGGCAGCCTTGAAATCAAAGTCAAAGGTTTTGATTTCTTCATTCTACACTGCAAACTAACAAAGGGGACAATAATAATTAACCCTGCCTCCTAAATGTTAATTACAAGGCATATGTTTGATATTAAAAAAATCATTTCTACTGAACTTTAATTAACCTCAAAGCCTGGTATTATTTTACTTTAAGACGTATTACTAGACAATAGAAAAATTTCTGATATTTAGATCTGAAACATAATCTAAGGACAGATGAGTTGCAAGGTAAAGGAGTCATCTGTTTGATACAAAAATATTTTCCTTGAATGCACAGTTGTCTCACTTTTATTTAGTATATTTGAGTTGTTATTATTATTTACTGATTTTGCTAATACTTTATTACATATAGGACAGCTCTTGGGTGCATTGTACATGATGAGACTATCATATATATATTTAAATCTTATGTATACGACTTCACCTAGGGGGCAGCTTAGGTTAATGGAATGCTGATTGAGTGTTCATTTCAGCTGAACACTCCAGACAGGTCTACATTCATCACTTCCAGGGTGAGAATTCATCTCGCTCTCACTAGTTGTTTCCTAATCAGCTGACTGCTCAATTCACTTGATTGCTCCCTCTGACCATCCTATGGCTGGCTGCTTCCTTTGCCTCCCAATCACACTAATTGACCTCTTGATCAAAAATATTCCAAGTTTCAGTGCTCTGCTCACAGCTAATTGTACCCTAACAGATAATTTTGGCTGAGCATTCAATGTGTATTTCCAATATAGGAACTGAGAACAGTGTCTTAGGAGGCATTTTAATTACAGTGTTAGCAGAAATAATCTGTATGGAGGCACCATATCTGGTCACACTATCACACACTAGCTAGCTGGACAGGCACAGCAATTAACTTATGGGTCTATCCAAGAGTTTGGGCACGGGGTGCAATTCAGTCCATATAAATAATCACAGCAGCTCAAACAGCACCTTATCTACCCAGTTCTGTGCTGTCCGCTGCCAGGCTTGTATCCAGCCATGGAAAATTGTTGACCTCTTGAGTCGCTTCTGCCAGTTACCAAAATTAGGTTCTGTTAGAAGAACTCCACCATGTTCCCCGTGGCTGGTGGAGAGAAGTTAACTCCAACACCTTGGCTGACTGCTGCTGTGTGACATTCACTCAGGGACACATGCTCTTCAGAAGTGCCATCCAAAATGAGAGTTATTAGGAGCCAGTGAGATCTGGATTAGGCTATAATTTAGAAGTAGTGTGTCAAGTAGTCGCTCAGCTGCCATTAAACATTAAAATAATACTGTGTGTACAATTTGCACAACCAGCAGGGAGCAATTTGAATAGTGCTCAGAAACTTATCTTTGTCAAGAAAAGTAAGTGTTGTCAGGAGACGGGAATTAATTTGGAAAAGTGCATTCTAGTCAACACTTTGTTTCTATTATGTGCTGCTAAAGTAAATTAAGCACCATAGAAAGTTTACCCGACTTTGTTAAAGGCTTGCTTGCTGCCAAGAAATTAGTTTCTTAAGACTAGCCATCTCTGAAAAATCGAGGCAATTCAGCATGTAAAAACAGCAAGCAGTTTGCTAACTGAAAAAATATAATGTCCTCTATATTTAGAGATTTATCTGGGGTTTTGTTATAGATCTGTTTTTAAAGGCGTACAGGTTTGCATATATGATCTGATTTCAGATGATTCTCCAGAACTGTGAAGCACATCAGACAATGAGCTTAGGAAGCACAAACTTTCAAAATCTGAAAAACATTTTTTCTGCAGGGCTTTCCCAAGAGATTGCCCTGTACTATTCTGCACCTAGTGTAGGCCCAGAGGCTCCACCTGCATATTTAAAGATGGAGCTACCTGAAGCCCTCCCTGCAACGCGATGCCTTCCCTGGGGTGGGCAGCCATTCAGCCAGCCCTGCTTGAGAAGAACCAACGCCTCTCTGCAAATTCAGGGACACACAATAGGGGGCTGAAAAGGATCTGTGCTGTGCATGTTTCTGCTAACACAGAGGGTTTGGGCCTTTGGATTTGCTAGATAAGATTGATATAA